GACAGCGATTGTCAGTGTCATTCAATCCAGTGTGAACGGGATTCAGCTTAGTGGAAATGTATATGTTAAACTAATGATATCTTACCTCTTCACCGTTTGCAGTTTGATCTGTCCTTTGATGCTTTCCCGTGTAAAGGTAAAAGAAGCCGATTCTTTCTCTTGGGGTAAATATTTTTCAGCCTCACTGTTAATTGAAACAAAATGACTGTTAAAATGAAGATTTCTTGGATTCTATTAACATTATGTGGTATTTAGCTACACTAATACCTCTTAGACAGGAAATGCCAATCTTTGGCAGAAGGAATCCACTCTGGAAAAACCCAGGGGGAAAAGTTCTCATCCCGGCTAGCAAGAGCATTTGGTGAAAGAAGGACAAGCATTATTAAAATACAAGTGACACAGATACTATGAACTGTTAAATTTGACATGATCTTTTGAAAAGCGGATGCTTACAATTCTTTGGTCCTACTAAAACAGTTCCAAACAGGCTCCATGACATTGTTAGCCAATCCATTTGGAAGAAGACAATGCTGTTGAGCAGAACACAATAAAAAAAATGAGACAACACAGATATGGAAATTAATGTCAAAATCATCCAACAACGCAAAAGTATCTGATTATAAACTACTCACATAATTTCCTCTGGGTGGTCTGCAGGAAGGTCTGGATAATCTGCGCTCTATGTTCAAGCTGAAGTCTGGCTCTGAATCTTCTTCATCGTCGCTCTCTGCCTCTTCGTCTTTTCCTGGGGAAAAGTCCTCATCGCCATCAGAGTCGCTTTTATAATCTGGAGTTTTTCTTTTGGTCCCCCTTCCCCTTGCGGTTTTCTTTTTCTTGTCAGTGCCATCCGCTTCACCGGACTTGGACGTTTCTTTAATTGAGGATTTTGATGGAGCACCAAGATCCTTGGCAAGGTTGTGGAGATAATCTAAAGCACTAATAAAGAAAATTTGATTATAAAATTTGCAGCTGACCAGAACTAATCACATCCTAATGAAATATAACAAGTTTTTAGTTTTATTGGGTAAAAAAAAATGACAAAACCGTAATGAAAACACACACAGTATTTCAACCAAAAAGACCTGCGACTAGTTTCACTTGTGTGAAAATATTGCACCTTTTCAAGCAGGTGAAACTGTATTGCAGTTGGTTAATAAACAACATGTAGGTTTTTGTGTTGAAATGCTGTGCAAAAATGCCAAAACTGTTTAGTGACTTTGAGTTTTCAATTGCCATCTGTTTTTGCTTGTGAATTTTTTTTTCTTTGAAAAAGCCGCTTTGTGAGTAGCTCAACGGTAAGATTGTTGCCTGGTGTGTGGAACAACCCAAGTTCAAGTCCTGATCAGAACATGCCACCTGACCCTTGGTTATTCTGGAGAAAGATGACTCACTCTGCTGCAGGACTGCAATGCATTGGCTTTCAGCAGATATAATAAATATTGTAATTTAGATACGGAATAATAGTAATGTGTCTTTTTTTTGTGTGCATGTGACTGCTTTATAATGATGACCAGGTTTAATGCAAGTGTGCATTGTACATTTTGCATACAGCATGCAGCATGGATTTTGGGAAATTGCATACAGCTGGAGAACATACACTTTAGCAGCTCTCCTCTTGGGCCGACCACTAGAAGTGAGTTCAGAAGTATCAGAGACTGCTGAACTGTCATGTTGTGGTGGAATGATCTCCTTTCTTCTCCTTTTGGCAGGAGTCTTTGCCTTTGGTCCTTGCTTCTTTCGAGTTTCCTCTGTATCAAGTTGGTTTTCCTGATCCATACCTGGGGGAACCTTAGAGCTAGGCGCTTGTGCTAAGAAAGTCACAACAATAAAAAAAGTTTCAAAGAATGATGTCGGAATAGATACATTTATGATTGGACATGCATGCATAAAAAAAAGATTAGTAAAAAGGACAAAACTATAATAGTATCTTAATGATACTAATGTAGCACTGCATGAGAGTGTTGGTCTTTGGCTGCTTACCAGGCCTTTGCATCTCTGACTCTATCTTCTGCGTCTCTGAAGAGTCAAGAACTTCACCTGAATCCTGAGCCGCTCCTTTACTCTCATGGTTAATCTGTGCTGGTTGGTCATCTGTATCTTTTTCACACGGCAAACCCATTTTTTCACCTTTCTGCTCACCCAACTTTAGGGCAGCAGCTGCCATTAATTCCCGTTCTTTCAAAGAACTCCTGCCAGTACAGGCTAGAAATACAGAATAATGTTGATTTTACACACAAAGTCATATAAATATATGGATTCTCCTAGATAATGTAAGTTTCCATGATACTACAAAGTCAAAAGACACA